AGTTAACAATCACTATAAAGTGAGGGCTATTTTCTTTGATTTTAATAAGTAAAGGGTTAAAACCAACAAATTTAATAAAATAATGAGCTAAAAGTGTCATAATATAAGATAAGGGGCTAAAACTTTCAAACTTGATAAGGTAAGAGGTTAAATAGATTTTTGCATGAAAAAGGCTACCCCTCAATCTCTTCACCTTCCCTGATTTCTCCGTTGTCATTTGCCATCTTTTCTATCATTTTTGCTCCTTTCAAGTTCCCTTTCTCTTTATCCGCTCTATTTTTTACAAGAGATTTTATCCTTCTTTGCTTTCCCTTCAACCTAGCTTACTCTCTCATCCTTGCTCCTTTTTATTGGCAACAGATAGAGTTCTTCCATTTTTGCTCCATTTAAGGCTTCCTTTTTGCCACTTTCTTTGCTCCTCTTGGAAACAGATCATTGGTAAGGTTTTTAAATCAAGTAAAGGAAAGTTAACACCTAAAATTGGAAGCATGGACAGCAATTTCAAAGCCAACCCGTTGAAACCTAATGCAAAAGTCCAATTTTAGTAAATTTGTGGGTTCATCCAATTTCAAATAGTTTTATGAGTTTATAGAGAGTCCACCGCAAGTTCACAAAATCCTAATTTTATACACGAATTGACTCATTTTCCACCCATACAAATGTAAAATCATAAAAATTTATGAAAAAACTCGCAATTTTGACAACAATAGTTGTGTCATCTTATTTTAATTTGATTTTGATTTGTTAATAATAAATTTTTATAATAGATTTTGTAAACTTGACATGGAATCAAAATAATAAATATATACAATATTACATATTTTACCCAAATTAAAAGAGAAAATAAAAATTAAAATCAAATTAAAACTAAGTGACATGGCAGTCATGTAAACATGCTACATCAAGGTGTAGGAATTTAGATGTAAAAATGGGTGTAAAAAAGTAATTTCCTTTTTACATATGCTTATATATATGCTTTTGGCCTTTTCCCTTGGTTGCTTTCTATAATCCTCTCTAGCTGTCTTTTTATTGCATTTGCCCTTTTCTACTTGACCTCACTCCCTTCTTTTGCATCTTTC